ATGATTAGGCCCTTCCGCAGTGCCCAGCCCGATGGCCACGACGAGGGTCCGAGAGGAGACCAGTTGATTATCACCATCAGGGCCAGCTGTCACATAAACACACACCACACGGTGTCATCTGCGTGTCGGTCAGAGGCAAGGGAAGCGTACACACGCACCTGAATGGCCAGACGAGCAAATGCTCCCACGAGGTAGAACACGAGCAGCAGGAATGACATCACCATGCTAGAGGAGCGAGGTAGACTGAAGGCACAGACGCGGTTAGACGCAAGAGAGGTAGACTGAAGGCGCTAGACGCGGTAGTTGTGTTCGGAAGACAGTGAGGAAGACAGACTGAAACATTATTGCCCTAAAACCTCGAATGGGGTAGGGATTCATGAAACCACTAATGGGGAGTGCCGAGATACAAGAGAGAGCTTGTCTTCTGCCTGTCTCCTCCCCTCACGACAGATCACGAAGCACACGATCAGATCTTTGCGTGGTGTCACACAGCGAGTCCCAAATCAAGGCAGGATGACACCGGTGCGGCTTTATGCGGTCTTTCTCTTTTGCTGCGCAGCGAGCACAGCGGCCGCCGGAAGTGGTGACGTCAAGCAGGTCAGTCAGCCGCACTCAAGGCAGCCAGTCACTCACGCATCGTCTGCGTGTTCTGTGTTCTGTCTGTCTGCTTGGACCAGCGCCGTCGTCTCCGCGCAGTGCAGAAGGAGCGATTGACCGATGGCGGCCGAGGTGCCGTGATGAATCAACGAGACGGGGATCAGCGGCGAAAGCTGCAGTCCGTGCTGACGGAAGAGGAAATGGATCGGTTGACTGGCATATTCAACGGCACCGACAGTTCAAGCTCAGCCTCGACTCCAGCCTACTCGACGGGCTTGGGTTACAGTCGATGGGACTCGGGTGAGCAAAATGACAAGAGAAAGATAGCATGCCTCTCCGAAGCGGTCGTGTGTTTCTTTCAGCAGCTAGCACCAGCACAACTGGCAGCACATCCGGCAGCACCACCGGCAGCACCACCGGCAGCTCTGGGAACCCAAACGGCAACAGCGAAGTGGTACCACCGTCTAATGGGGACCTGTAAGCGTTCACTTCCTACTTAGCTAATGACTAGCTGACGACCCAGCCATGGTGTGACTGATGTCTCTCGTGGTTTCAGGAGTGTCCCTGAGAACAGCGGTGTCCTTGTGGACCCCAGGAGTGTCCCTGAGAACAGCGATGTCCTTGTGGACCCCAACGACCAGTAAGCATACGCTTCCTTCTGACGACGCACGCATCGTGTGAACGTTGATGTGACCTCGGTGGTCTCAGGGATGTCGAGGACCCTCCTGAGGCAGATGACCCGTAAGTGCATGCACCCAATCACAGAGTGTGCTCGTCGATCATCTTTTGCAGTCAACAATTGGCAGGCCAGATGAGAACACGTGGCAAGGTGTGTTGCCTCCAACACAGGACAGCGAGAGTGGAAGAGGCTCCGGCCTGAGAGACAACGACCGTGGAGGTTCCAGCTTGAGAGACAACGACCGTGGAGGTTCCAGCGTAGGGAACGATGACAGAGGGCGGGATGACAGCCGGGGAGGTGGCGGTGGTGGTGTCGGCGGCCGAGATGACGGAGGAGGTGGTGGTTTCGGGAGCGACAGTGGGCCAGCTGGTGAGGATAATGGGGATGGGGGCAGTGACGGGGGGGATGGCGGTGATGGTGATGAATGAAGGCATATATATAAGTCATTGCTCGTCACTGCAATGCCATGGCTGCCTCCAAAATTCTGGAGGGAAGGCCAAGAGGGAGTGCGTGCAGGGAGGGATATACATGCACATATGTGTGGCGGTGTACCTGCCAGTCTTCGTACGGTTCATACCTGCCTGTCTGTCTGTCTATCTATCTGTCTTGGCCGCTCAATCTATGATCAATTAGTCAGTTAGTACGGTGTATTAGTCAGTTGTACGGTCATGCCGTGATTTTGATGTCGAGCAAGTGTATTTTTTCTTGTACTCACGCTCCTTCCCTCTCTATATGTGTGTGTTGTCACACGGGGGTGGGGGTGCAGCGGAAGAAGCGCGCGAGAGGCTGGCTGGCTTGCTGGTTCGCATGTGTGTGCAGCATCTATTATTTTGCATGGTTCTGGCCCCGGTCCAGTCTGCACTGTGATACGTTCGTGTATCCTGGTGCATGTGCGTTGCGACGAGTCAAGCTGATGGTCCAACACCTGTGCGCACTTTCTGCATTTTCCTGTATGCGTTGGTAGGACAGGGTTGACATTCATACAGCTGCAATAAGGTGGCTTATGAGTTTTTTGCCGGCAACTTGGGGCTGGGCGCGTGCATGCATGCGAGCAGAGCGAAACATGAATGTCACGTTGCATGTATCACGCTTGTTTGCAGTGTGCGACATCTTCTCGCAGTCAACGAACGTTGTCCATTGTTTCTGCATGTATTGTTTCCCTTCGCTTGCTTTACGAACTGATGCTGAAACGAATTTCGTCGCCCGTTTTATTTAAAAAAACAAAAACACACACACACACATGGTATGCCCTATTCGGCGATGGAAGTTAACAGCCCGAGGCATCCGTGCCCACATGCATTCGTCCCTGGGTTGAGAGTCACAATTAGTCCATCATGGGAAAATACCCGTGGATGGACACAACTTGATAACAACGAGCTACAGACACTCAAATGGACAAAGTCAACCCAGGCAAGTTCCTCACCCAAGATGGCTCACTCTGCTGGGATATGCAGAGCATCGCTTGGTGTATGCTGTGAAACGGTTTGGTCACGCGGAACGTCATATGCACATCCCTGGTGCCGATCTAATAGGTGATGAGGCTCCATGAAGGCTGCTGGCTCCATGTCCTGCCTGATGAGTAATCACCTCCGGCTTCGTCATCTGTTGGTGCTTGCCGCCTTCTATGCGGCTGCTGCAGATCCAACTCTCAACACGACGAACAGCAGCATCCCTGCAACATGGCACACGACCGAAAAGTGGGAGCTACTGTCACGCAGGCCCGAGTTTCAATCACAGCACACCGTAAGCAGTTACAGTGCATGCTGCCTGTCTGCCTGACATTCATGGGTAAGAGGTGCGTCATTTGTACGTGTGGCGTACGTTCTTCGCAGATCACTCCCAGTGGCGCTCTCGAGTACGCCTTTCGTATTGTGCCACTGGAGAACCTGACAGAGCTGAGCGAGTGCGCTTCGTGCCAACAAGACGCCGGGGCGCTGAGGGAGTTTGTGGATGAGTCGGGGCTTCTCTCTGTGCTACCCAACGACACGGACAGCACTCTCGAAGCAAACGTCTGTGCCACATCCTTCATCGTCTGTGTCCGAGACGAGGCGACAGATGAGGAAGGCTATGTCCTGGCGCTGGTCGGGGCGATGAGCT